TGACCCAGTCTCGTACCAGGATGTTGCTCTGGTGCTTGTTGTAATAGAGAGACCCGTTGTAGACCACGTGGCCGGTTCCCGCCCAGGGGTGGGGTAACAGATGCTGCACGAAGTTTTGGCCTTTCGTGAAGTCCCCCATGGTCCTGTACTCTAACACACGCCTGCCCTTATAGTAGCCATCCATCGACCACACCTGTTGGAGAGAAGGCAAAGGAGCGCAGATGGCTCATCTATAGCCAGGTCGTAAAATGAACTCCTGCTGAGCAATAAATTCTGTTACGCTTTGAGAGTAATCCATCATGCCCCCCCCCCCCTCCTGCTGTCCAACAAACTGATTAGATCACGACATAATGTACTCAGACTGTCGCAGTTGGATGCTGCAAACCTTGAGTCGGTCAAATCAAATAAAAGCAAAGGCAACAGGTTGGTATCACCCAGACCTCCAGGTGGGGAAGATAACAAACGCAGGTTCAGCAGGCCTGCCAAAGCTCTGGATTTGTCAGCATGCTGAAGTTGTGCGTGTGAGGCCGCAGCAAGAGAGACGCTCAATATACAAAAGGTTATAGGGCTTTTCTTCAGCTGCTTTTCCTGCATCACAAATAGCAAAAAGTGTATGCAAGTCGGTTTTCGTCGAAGGTTGCTCACCAGAAATAACAAAACTGCTTTTTGTCTGCCTCCATCTAGGGAACGCCTGCTCATCCCCCCCCCATCATATTCCTATTTCAGGACTAGTCAGTGGAAGCAGTTTTGGCTATGCATTTCCACAGTTTATAACATTCCCGGAGATAATTAGCAGCAATAAATTCTGATCTATCCCAGGCATGGATGTTTGATGTCCACCTTTTTCCCACCTCCTCAATCAAGCTGACCTGAATTTAAATCACCGCCTGATGAAAAGTAAAAACTCAATAATCTTAGTGTAATGAGAAGAGCTGTAAATATAGGATAGTGGAAGAAGTTGTGGGGAGGGAGCAGAAGATGAAAAAGATCAGTGGTGAAACAAACGACCAGAGAAGAAATGGGATGGGTGGAAAATTGAGCGTCTGCAGCGTGGAGGATTAATTACCCGGGGAGGGGACGAGAGGTGAAGCAGATGAAAGAAAAGAGCAGAGAGCACTGGGAAGAGAGAGCATTGTTGGTGAAAAAGATGCTCGTTATTCCCCCCCCCGCAAAGACTGAAAAGTACCGAGGCCAGATAAAAATGGGGGGTGGGGAGGGGGCAGATGAAAAGGAACCTTTTTGTTAAGGGGAAAAAAACCTCTCTTGCAGTAGAACAGCAATTTTTAAAATTACAGTTCATTTGTAGCAGCAATATTTAAAATTCACATTGAATTAGAGACTTTCAGACAAAGGTAACTGATTGCGGTTATTTTGAGGGCCTTCAATAGCAGAGTTTAATTGAGACTCGGCTAGTGGTTTGAAAAGACAATGAAGCAGACTGATTGGCCTCTCCCGCTCCTTCCAGTGCGCTCTCTTCTCTCCTCCAAACACTGATGAAGCTTTCTCAGTTTTAATTCGCTTTTAAATAGGTTTCAAAGGAAGATGAGTCCCTTTGTTTATTGGCAGCTGTAATCTTCTCGTGTCTGAATGCACCATTTACTTTAAATAAACAAGCTCCAGATACTGATTATATAGCAAACGGTGCGCACGGAAAGTGACTCGGGATTTTGTTTTCTTATTCTGCTTCTAGAGCTTACGTCAAAGTTGTACAAATTAGTGAGCTATTTTCTTTCTGCTCCCCTCCCGGCTGGCCTACTCACATACGCCCTTAAAGGATCAGTTGTATCTTATTACAGTATCCACATGCTGTGAAGTGATTCCTCCCCACTGTGACTACACTAAGAAGGAAAGAATATCCACAGGTCCTGCTCTTTGCAAATATTCATTCGGGAGCACGTCTGACATTTCAAGTGGGTCTCTACTGGCAGTCACATGTTGGTTTACATTAGTGGGTTGGACTGCATTTACAGGGCATTTTTAGCATGTAACTGATGCACTGATACACTATTGCCAGTAAAAGCACCGGTCTCAGCATCAGGTGCAATTTAGGGATCAGCATCTCTCACAAGGATACTTAAACATGAGGAGCCAGTGGCCGAATAAACACTGCTGTGATCAGTGGACTGATCCTACTCTGAAACTACTGCCAGTTAGCTTAGCTTAGCAGTTTGTAGCTTCATATAGAGTAGGCTCTTGTATTTATATTTTCTTAAGAGGGAAACATACAGTACTGCGCAAAAGTCACTCTCTTTTTTAAAATATTTTTCTAGGGAAATGGGAAATAGATACAGGGATTTATTGAATGATCTGAAAATATACATGGAAATACAGTCTAAATTTGCTAGAGCCACTGCCTGAACTCTCATAGACAAACTCTCTTCTTTAAGTAGTCTTAGAATATTTCTCCAGGCTTGTTAAAGGACATTCAAAGCTCTTTGGTTTTTTGCTGCCTTTTGTTTTGTTCTGTATCAAGATGATCCCACACTGCTTCAATAATGTTGAGGTCTGAGCTCTGGGGAGGCCAATCCATGACTGATAGTGTTATTGTGTGATTTGGCATACCTCAACCTTTTCTCCTGTTCCTTCCTTTAAAAATGGCTTCTTGATACCAAACCTTTCAGTAGATGGATCAACTGAAGCCCCAGATGCAAGGGCGTAGATTTGGCATGGAAAGAAGGGACACGTCCCCACCAATATCCAGCGATCATTGAATCATCCCCATCAATAATTTGATCTCTTCGAGTAAAGAAAAACAAAACCGACAGAAAGAAAAGAAAAACGATCTGTCAACGTCTCGTTCACCCAGCGGTGCAGAAAGAGTTAAATTACGTTCTCTACTGGGGTCCTACCTCATATGACAAATATGGCCAATGTGATTCGCTGTGCCTTTCAGTGAGCTCTGTTTAGTTTTAGCAGCAGCAAGCCTGCGCTGCGAGGAGGAGTGGAGGACGGCAGCAACAAGGAAGAAGCTGGATATAAGAGTGTTTCAAAGAAACCTGTAAGTCACTTAAAGTCAAGTTCACTCATAAAATGTATCCGTCATAATAA